AAGAATTATACTTATGCAAGATGAATTGAATGTTAACTTCAGAGGCGACGTCGTATTTTTCTTTTATAGCATTTCACATGTCCATGGAAGCCTTATAAGTTTTAAAAACTTTGATTAAGTTATCATCCATGAACATGAGCATTAGACTTTTTGCCTTTTTATCTTTCGACTTTCACTGTTCAAACCATTTCTTTTCTTCAGGTGTAGATTTATCAGTAAGGGTTGGAGCAGTGATTTTTGATTACATCATCGATATTATCATGAATAAGAGCATATCCTATTTTTTATGCCACTTATCATGATTACTACTATTAAATTTGTTAATTTTTCCTAGTTCTGATAGAACGAGTTTACTAGCCATTCAGTAGAGAACTAAACTTAAAAATAGGTATGCTTGGTACCAAGCACAAAAAGTGGTGCTTGGTAGTGAGGTGACATAATCCTCTCCACTCATTCAAATGGTTGCATAATCCCATGGGCTTGGTAGTGAGGTGACATAATCCTCTCCACTCATTCAAATGGTTGCATAATCCCATGCACTCCTCAACCCATGTGAATGTGGTCCCCCATTTGAATGAGTGGAGGGGATTGTGCTACCTCACTACCAAGCACAAAATATGTGCTTGGTACCAAGCATACCCATATTTCTCATATATATATATATAAATTAAAATGAACCTGATTCTTGTGAGTTGAGAAAGGAAGCTCCAATTAGAGTGAGATCGTCACTTAGTGGTGTTGACCGAAGAATCACTTGTCGAAGTTTTGGCGCCGTGAGGGCGAATCACCTTCCCCAGATGCAGCGGTAGTGGGACCCACCGGTCTTAACCTTGGCCTTGTAGGTGTAGGTCGGGCTCTTGCCGCAGTACCAGGTGACCTCCTCCTTTGTGTTCACTCCCTCGATCTGCAGCAGCGACGTGTTCTCGTACTGGTTAGACTTCGAGTATGGTGTCTCGGACATAAAGTATGATGCGCTCTCCTTGCCTTCCTTTAAAAAATAAAATAAAATAAAGACTATGATGCAGATGCAGGCTAGGCTCTTATAGATGTAGGTCAGCGGATTTATGACAAAAAGTAGGTTAGGCTAGGCTATAAACAGGTAGATGTAGGCCGACGGATCTATGACAAAGAGTAGGCTAGGCTATGAACAGGCTCTTGGTTGTCAGGGCTAGTTGGATGTGCTTGGCTAGGTAAAAAATAAATGAGTGGTAAACGAGTAGTTGGCAGACCTCAACAGAGAGCCACATACTTGCTCAAGAAGTTGAAGAGAGAGTGCTTCTTCTTTGTTGTGAAAAATAGCAGCAGGGTTTGAAGATGGTGGAGAACCTTCAGCTCTGATACCAGTGATCGTGAACAAAGAAGAAGAGAAAGAACGATGGGTTTCTTTGAGGGCGCTCCGGTAACAGGTAGAGGGTTTTTTGATTCTGTGTTGTATATTTCTCAAAGAGAACACTCAACTATATATAGAGGCTAAACACATCATCTTCACCCCCTCAAAACTGCTTCTGAGAGATTTTCTCTCAACAACCCCATTTAACACGTTTTTCTCAATTAAGAAACGTTGATTTGGTCACACAAGACCGAGTCAAGATAACAACTATAAACATCATGTATTATGCACTAGATACCGGAGACTTCACCGCATGAGAAATTTTATGAACCATGCGCCTCATGTGTGCAAATGTCTGTTTGAATTCCAAACACATTTTTAAAGTAGATAAACTTTGATATTTAATTAGCAAAATGGACCGATTTTCAGCCAAGAAAGTGGCCAATGACAACGATCCATGGCATTGAATGTGAAAGGATACCAACCTTTGGATCATTGAATTTTGTGATTCGTACATTGGTTCAAAAATTGATATTTTTTGAGCGCACATTTAATATCATTGATGGAGATAATATGATAATTTCTCGTGTGAGCACGGCTTGCTAAAAATTGATCTGCTTGCTAATTTAGCATCTTTTTTCAACTTATTTTTCTAATTAAATGCTAAAATTGTCCTCAAAATTTATCTTCTTGCCATTGCTTTGTGGTTTCAAGTTCGAAGGGAGCGATCGAGATCTTTTGTCTGTTAGATATTCCCATCTCAAATCTACAATTTTTTACCTCATGCCGTCAGCTGAAGCCGATCTTCGGATATCCACAAGATCTTGCCATATCACCACTCAGCTCCACGCTGAAAGCCCAATATTTGCTCTTGATCAACTCAACTGAAAGACGAGAACGAAAATGAAGCAGGCTTTGTAGAATTGGGCTCCACATTTCGTTTGGGCTCATAATTTGGCTACAATATTAGCGGCTCATATGAGTTGGGCTGCAAATTTAGTCAATTTTCAAACAAATTGGGCTTTTGATACCGGCCATTGGATCAAAATAATAATTTGATGATCAAAAGAAAAGTTGAAAAGTCATGGTACTCGCCCAAGAGAATAATAACCCATTGTTTCTTTTGATTTAAAAAAGCCCATTATTCTTAATGAATATGAAATAAAGCTCAAGGAATCTTATGGAAATCATAATAACGTATCCACATTTTCTCCTTAATAAATGGCCAACGTGTAATTAGGTGTATAGATAACTAAATCAACGTTGGACGGTTGACCTTGGGCCCCTACACCATTAGCGTCCCACATGGGACTCGCTTTCAACACAACCAACTATACCCCTTACTTTAGTCCCATATACAACTCACGTCACCTAAGCTTCCCTCAAACCCCCCCATACCCTAAGAAACGTAACGAAACAAAACCACCTCAACAACATTCTCCTCATTCTCTCTCTCTCTCTCTCTCTCTCCTCTCTCTCTCTCTCTCTCTCTCTCTCTCTCTCTCTCTCTCTCTCTCTCTTCTCCTTCTACAAGTCCGCCGCCGCCGCCTCCTCCATCACCGCCACCTCCACCACCACCGAAGAGCCCCTCGGTGCAATACTGCCCGCCGCCGCCAAAGCCATATTCGACGTTAATCGTGGAGGGACCACCGGGAGATTTGTATCCGTTGGATCCCGAATACTATCCATCGGGGACGAGCAAGAGCTTGGATATGAGGCTGCCGGCCGTTGTGATGTGGGGATTGGTGGCTTTTTGGTTGGTTGTAACTTGTAAGGGGTGAATTTTAGTGATTAATTCATTTGGTGTTAATCACCTTTTTTTTCTTTAAATTGTAAGAAGAAAGAATATGAATGACCGATTTTAATTAGCCAGTATCAGTCGTTATCATAAATTTCATGTGTGATTTTATAAGAACTGCTTGAAGAGCGAAGGGTTGGTATGTGAAAAATGATGTTGAGATATGACTTGTTAAAGAAGTTTAAACAAATAATGTTTGGTTTAGGACATGTTTTTTGCATAATATTTTCTAGTTAATTTTTTTTTTAAAATTTTCAATTTATTTTCATTTTGGAAACCTGAACTCAATTTCATTTAATTGGTTGTCTGGTTTCATAGCGCTTGAGGAAGTTGTATAATCAGATTGCGACAACTTTAAGTTCAAGAACTGAAAAGATGAGGTAGCAACTGGAAAGAAATAAGGGGGCTGCTTGCTTTGAAAGAATAGAACAAAGTGTAAGCTTCAAGAATCAGGATACAATTTTATTAGGTGTTGATGCTTTCTATATTCATTTATAAAGGACTTTTCATTTATTTGTTTAAGCATAGATAACAAATTAAGAATTAAGTACTTTATTTCTTCCATTGTTTACTTAACCAGAGAGTAGGATTAATTGATTATACTGTTGAAAGGCGTAGTTTTTTGTTGTATAATATTAATTGTCTTGCGATGGAGCAACCGGTATGTTATCATGTGAGTTGGCGGCGGATGCTGACAGAATTAAGCACCAACTTTATCAATTTTGTTAACAAATTAAAATTATATCAATTTATTGTCGACAGTTTCCCAATTAATGTTACACCAACCAAGTATGTTGGTTGTTTTGCACAAAGTTCCTTCATTTCGCCTTTAGAAATATATATACTCAATACATCGTAAAGATACAGTGTAGTAACGTATTCCTGGAGAGTGTAGTTTTTATCTCTTTTTGCTACAACTTTTAGGGTGTTTTTTTTTGCGGATGCCGAAAATTTCAGGGGTTAGCTTGTAATTTCTAGATTTTTAACGTGTTGTTATTAAGTTTTAAAATTTCCAAGGTATTTGTTATAAATTTCAAATTTTCTAGGGTGATTTTCATATTTTGTGAACTTTCATGATGTTTTTTACAAATTTCAAAATTTTTAGCGACTGCGGGTAGTTTCCAGGCTTCTAGCGTGTTGTTTGTAAGTTTTTGAAATTTTTATGGGTAGTTTTGTAGATTTCTATCTAGTGAGGCTGTTTTTCTGTAATTTCTAAAACTTTCAATGTGCTTTTTGCAAATGTTCAAAAAATTCTTAGTCTTGTTTGTAAATTTTTATTTTTAGGGTGTCCTATAATTCTGAATTTTGAAGGTGTTTTTTGTAAAATTCTAAAATGTTGGGGTGCTTTCTCTAATTTTTTATACTTTGAAACTTATGGAGTCATAATATGAGTTTTAGGATAGTTTTGATGATGATGTAATGATAAACTTATGGATTATGTCGGTATGTTTCTATACCTCTAGCTCGACTCCTGATTAGGACACAGCTCAAGTGAAGGAAACATATTTTCTGAATAAATTAAGGGTAAATCACACTAAATCCCCATGAACTTTTATATGTTGCAGTTAATCCATACAAACTTTCAAAATCGCTCTAAACCCCCATATTCTTTGGGAAAATCCTCTTTTAACCCAAAGTTTTACCCCAACTTATTTAAAAACTCATTCACTTTTCAAAACATCAATAGACCCACAATATCACATCCCACTTATTTTTAAACCCAAATGTACAATACACCCATTATTTGTACTGTATTTATCCAAAAAATTTGAAAAATCCTAAACTACCATTCATCCCCAACTGATCTCTCCCTCTCCCCTCCTCCTCCATCTGAGCTCAGAAGAGATCTCTCCCTCTCCCCTCCTCCTCCTCTTCCCTCCCTTCACTTCCCCTCAACCACTACCACCAACCTCCTCCTCTTCCCTCCCTTCACTTCCCCTCCTCCCTCAAGCCCATCAACCTCTGCATCCACTGCCCCTATCTCCCCTCGCCGCCACGTCACCCACCACCGTCGACCTTGAAGTAGATGAATAGCCCACCAATGATTTCGACATTGACTCCCTGTAGTTCGCCCATCAACCTGAAGCACTTGTCATTGCCGCCAGTGGACGGAGCTTGAGGAGCACTCGGAGTAATGGCGGAGGTCGAAGACCGCCTGGCTTTGTAAGGAGCTGCTTTCGCATAAGCCGACGACGATGGTGAGGATCCTTGGCGCTCAAAGGAAGTGGGTTCGGCAGAAGGAGGTGGGTTATGTTGTTCTCCATTGCAAGTCAGGTTAGTTCAACTCTTTGTCCACCACCTGTTTGTTGAATTTACGCTTAGTGTTCTCTCTTATCAATATTTGATTTTGATTTTGATGATTCTTTCCCTCTCGGCCTTGAGCTTGTCAAGAACCCATGCATACTTGAATGACCTCTTGTTCATCTCAGAAGCTTCCTTCTCGAAACTCTCAATTTCACATTTCCTGACAGCTCCCAACACTGCAAGTTGTCAGCTTGTCTCTCTTATCAATATTTGATTTTGATGATTGTTGGTTACTCAAATTCTAATTTATTGTTCTGTCATTCTAAAATCTCATGAACCTACAACTTGCAGCCTGTCCGTGATCGCTTCAAAAATAACGCTGATGCCAAAAAGCTATTGGAAAAAGTGAAGGTAACCTTTACTTGATGCTCAATTGCTCATAAGATATGTACATTCATGAGATATCAACCATGACTTACATAACTATGGTTCCTCTCTGGACATTACGTTTTAAAATTAGAACTATAGTTCTTGCTTGCATTTATGAATAGAATTTTCCTTAGAGATGGTGATTGATGTGAAAATCCTCCCTCTTTTTGCAAGCGTACAAAGTTACTAGGTGATTATTCTTACTTGTTGGTGTTGGGAATGGTGACGAGTTGTAACATAAAAATTCTAATTTTCTTATTGCTTGGTGGTCCTTCAGATTCTTATTGTTCTTGTGGGTTTTGATAATTCGAAGCATTACGACATCAAAATCGATATTACTTTCATGTATTTTGATTTGGAAATGCACGATAAGTTAGAATTGATATTGCATAAAAGCTTATAGATGATTCCTTTGAAAGTGGTATGAAGCCTCTTATGCTAGCATTTCTCGATATTACTTTCATGTATTTTGCTTTGGAAATGCACGATAAGTTAGAATTGACAGTTAATAAAATTTTCTTATCATGCAATCATTGATTGTGACATTTATTTGTGCAGGAGCGTAGATTGTAACATTTTTATGGTGGGATACATATATTCCATCATCAATGGCACACCTAACGTAACGCACAGCTACCCCTCAATCAGAAACCATTCGTCAATGCACACTAACTTTCCAATCAAATACATGAGAGAATCCCCCACTATTGGCATTCGATCAGATCTTCGCATTGCTGTCACATTGCAACCCAAACGGCAAATCAACTACAGCCTGCAATATGATGTACCAAGTAGTATCCAATGTATCGTGTTGTATGAAATTTTCTATATTATGTATATATAGATGATTTGTGTGCATATTGTATCATTCGTCTGAAGTACGAACGCGAGGTTCGTCTGAAGTACGAACGCGAGGTTCGTCTGAAGTACGAACGCGAGGTTCGTCTGAAGTACGAACGCGAGGTTCGTCTGAAGTACGAACGCGAGGTTCGTCTGAAGTACGAACGCGAGGTTCGTCTGAAGTACGAACGCGAGGTTCGTCTGAAGTACGAACGCGAGGTTCGTCTGAAGTACGAACGCGAGGTTCGTCTGAAGTACGAACGCGAGGTTCGTCTGAAGTACGAACGCGAGGTTCGTCTGAAGTACGAACGCGAGGTTCGTCTGAAGTACGAACGCGAGGTTCGTCTGAAGTACGAACGCGAGGTTCGTCTGAAGTACGAACGCGAGGTTCGTCTGAAGTACGAACGCGAGGTTCGTCTGAAGTACGAACGCGAGGTTCGTCTGAAGTACGAACGCGAGGTTCGTCTGAAGTACGAACGCGAGGTTCGTCTGAAGTACGAACGCGAGGTTCGTCTGAAGTACGAACGCGAGGTTCGTCTGAAGTACGAACGCGAGGTTCGTCTGAAGTACGAACGCGAGGTTCGTCTGAAGTACGAACGCGAGGTTCGTCTGAAGTACGAACGCGAGGTTCGTCTGAAGTACGAACGCGAGGTTCGTCTGAAGTACGAACGCGAGGTTCGTCTGAAGTACGAACGCGAGGTTCGTCTGAAGTACGAACGCGAGGTTCGTCTGAAGTACGAACGCGAGGTTCGTCTGAAGTACGAACGCGAGGTTCGTCTGAAGTACGAACGCGAGGTTCGTCTGAAGTACGAACGCGAGGTTCGTCTGAAGTACGAACGCGAGGTTCGTCTGAAGTACGAACGCGAGGTTCGTCTGAAGTACGAACGCGAGGTTCGTCTGAAGTACGAACGCGAGGTTCGTCTGAAGTACGAACGCGAGGTTCGTCTGAAGTACGAACGCGAGGTTCGTCTGAAGTACGAACGCGAGGTTCGTCTGAAGTACGAACGCGAGGTTCGTCTGAAGTACGAACGCGAGGTTCGTCTGAAGTACGAACGCGAGGTTCGTCTGAAGTACGAACGCGAGGTTCGTCTGAAGTACGAACGCGAGGTTCGTCTGAAGTACGAACGCGAGGTTCGTCTGAAGTACGAACGCGAGGTTCGTCTGAAGTACGAACGCGAGGTTCGTCTGAAGTACGAACGCGAGGTTCGTCTGAAGTACGAACGCGAGGTTCGTCTGAAGTACGAACGCGAGGTTCGTCTGAAGTACGAACGCGAGGTTCGTCTGAAGTACGAACGCGAGGTTCGTCTGAAGTACGAACGCGAGGTTCGTCTGAAGTACGAACGCGAGGTTCGTCTGAAGTACGAACGCGAGGTTCGTCTGAAGTACGAACGCGAGGTTCGTCTGAAGTACGAACGCGAGGTTCGTCTGAAGTACGAACGCGAGGTTCGTCTGAAGTACGAACGCGAGGTTCGTCTGAAGTACGAACGCGAGGTTCGTCTGAAGTACGAACGCGAGGTTCGTCTGAAGTACGAACGCGAGGTTCGTCTGAAGTACGAACGCGAGGTTCGTCTGAAGTACGAACGCGAGGTTCGTCTGAAGTACGAACGCGAGGTTCGTCTGAAGTACGAACGCGAGGTTCGTCTGAAGTACGAACGCGAGGTTCGTCTGAAGTACGAACGCGAGGTTCGTCTGAAGTACGAACGCGAGGTTCGTCTGAAGTACGAACGCGAGGTTCGTCTGAAGTACGAACGCGAGGTTCGTCTGAAGTACGAACGCGAGGTTCGTCTGAAGTACGAACGCGAGGTTCGTCTGAAGTACGAACGCGAGGTTCGTCTGAAGTACGAACGCGAGGTTCGTCTGAAGTACGAACGCGAGGTTCGTCTGAAGTACGAACGCGAGGTTCGTCTGAAGTACGAACGCGAGGTTCGTCTGAAGTACGAACGCGAGGTTCGTCTGAAGTACGAACGCGAGGTTCGTCTGAAGTACGAACGCGAGGTTCGTCTGAAGTACGAACGCGAGGTTCGTCTGAAGTACGAACGCGAGGTTCGTCTGAAGTACGAACGCGAGGTTCGTCTGAAGTACGAACGCGAGGTTCGTCTGAAGTACGAACGCGAGGTTCGTCTGAAGTACGAACGCGAGGTTCGTCTGAAGTACGAACGCGAGGTTCGTCTGAAGTACGAACGCGAGGTTCGTCTGAAGTACGAACGCGAGGTTCGTCTGAAGTACGAACGCGAGGTTCGTCTGAAGTACGAACGCGAGGTTCGTCTGAAGTACGAACGCGAGGTTCGTCTGAAGTACGAACGCGAGGTTCGTCTGAAGTACGAACGCGAGGTTCGTCTGAAGTACGAACGCGAGGTTCGTCTGAAGTACGAACGCGAGGTTCGTCTGAAGTACGAACGCGAGGTTCGTCTGAAGTACGAACGCGAGGTTCGTCTGAAGTACGAACGCGAGGTTCGTCTGAAGTACGAACGCGAGGTTCGTCTGAAGTACGAACGCGAGGTTCGTCTGAAGTACGAACGCGAGGTTCGTCTGAAGTACGAACGCGAGGTTCGTCTGAAGTACGAACGCGAGGTTCGTCTGAAGTACGAACGCGAGGTTCGTCTGAAGTACGAACGCGAGGTTCGTCTGAAGTACGAACGCGAGGTTCGTCTGAAGTACGAACGCGAGGTTCGTCTGAAGTACGAACGCGAGGTTCGTCTGAAGTACGAACGCGAGGTTCGTCTGAAGTACGAACGCGAGGTTCGTCTGAAGTACGAACGCGAGGTTCGTCTGAAGTACGAACGCGAGGTTCGTCTGAAGTACGAACGCGAGGTTCGTCTGAAGTACGAACGCGAGGTTCGTCTGAAGTACGAACGCGAGGTTCGTCTGAAGTACGAACGCGAGGTTCGTCTGAAGTACGAACGCGAGGTTCGTCTGAAGTACGAACGCGAGGTTCGTCTGAAGTACGAACGCGAGGTTCGTCTGAAGTACGAACGCGAGGTTCGTCTGAAGTACGAACGCGAGGTTCGTCTGAAGTACGAACGCGAGGTTCGTCTGAAGTACGAACGCGAGGTTCGTCTGAAGTACGAACGCGAGGTTCGTCTGAAGTACGAACGCGAGGTTCGTCTGAAGTACGAACGCGAGGTTCGTCTGAAGTACGAACGCGAGGTTCGTCTGAAGTACGAACGCGAGGTTCGTCTGAAGTACGAACGCGAGGTTCGTCTGAAGTACGAACGCGAGGTTCGTCTGAAGTACGAACGCGAGGTTCGTCTGAAGTACGAACGCGAGGTTCGTCTGAAGTACGAACGCGAGGTTCGTCTGAAGTACGAACGCGAGGTTCGTCTGAAGTACGAACGCGAGGTTCGTCTGAAGTACGAACGCGAGGTTCGTCTGAAGTACGAACGCGAGGTTCGTCTGAAGTACGAACGCGAGGTTCGTCTGAAGTACGAACGCGAGGTTCGTCTGAAGTACGAACGCGAGGTTCGTCTGAAGTACGAACGCGAGGTTCGTCTGAAGTACGAACGCGAGGTTCGTCTGAAGTACGAACGCGAGGTTCGTCTGAAGTACGAACGCGAGGTTCGTCTGAAGTACGAACGCGAGGTTCGTCTGAAGTACGAACGCGAGGTTCGTCTGAAGTACGAACGCGAGGTTCGTCTGAAGTACGAACGCGAGGTTCGTCTGAAGTACGAACGCGAGGTTCGTCTGAAGTACGAACGCGAGGTTCGTCTGAAGTACGAACGCGAGGTTCGTCTGAAGTACGAACGCGAGGTTCGTCTGAAGTACGAACGCGAGGTTCGTCTGAAGTACGAACGCGAGGTTCGTCTGAAGTACGAACGCGAGGTTCGTCTGAAGTACGAACGCGAGGTTCGTCTGAAGTACGAACGCGAGGTTCGTCTGAAGTACGAACGCGAGGTTCGTCTGAAGTACGAACGCGAGGTTCGTCTGAAGTACGAACGCGAGGTTCGTCTGAAGTACGAACGCGAGGTTCGTCTGAAGTACGAACGCGAGGTTCGTCTGAAGTACGAACGCGAGGTTCGTCTGAAGTACGAACGCGAGGTTCGTCTGAAGTACGAACGCGAGGTTCGTCTGAAGTACGAACGCGAGGTTCGTCTGAAGTACGAACGCGAGGTTCGTCTGAAGTACGAACGCGAGGTTCGTCTGAAGTACGAACGCGAGGTTCGTCTGAAGTACGAACGCGAGGTTCGTCTGAAGTACGAACGCGAGGTTCGTCTGAAGTACGAACGCGAGGTTCGTCTGAAGTACGAACGCGAGGTTCGTCTGAAGTACGAACGCGAGGTTCGTCTGAAGTACGAACGCGAGGTTCGTCTGAAGTACGAACGCGAGGTTCGTCTGAAGTACGAACGCGAGGTTCGTCTGAAGTACGAACGCGAGGTTCGTCTGAAGTACGAACGCGAGGTTCGTCTGAAGTACGAACGCGAGGTTCGTCTGAAGTACGAACGCGAGGTTCGTCTGAAGTACGAACGCGAGGTTCGTCTGAAGTACGAACGCGAGGTTCGTCTGAAGTACGAACGCGAGGTTCGTCTGAAGTACGAACGCGAGGTTCGTCTGAAGTACGAACGCGAGGTTCGTCTGAAGTACGAACGCGAGGTTCGTCTGAAGTACGAACGCGAGGTTCGTCTGAAGTACGAACGCGAGGTTCGTCTGAAGTACGAACGCGAGGTTCGTCTGAAGTACGAACGCGAGGTTCGTCTGAAGTACGAACGCGAGGTTCGTCTGAAGTACGAACGCGAGGTTCGTCTGAAGTACGAACGCGAGGTTCGTCTGAAGTACGAACGCGAGGTTCGTCTGAAGTACGAACGCGAGGTTCGTCTGAAGTACGAACGCGAGGTTCGTCTGAAGTACGAACGCGAGGTTCGTCTGAAGTACGAACGCGAGGTTCGTCTGAAGTACGAACGCGAGGTTCGTCTGAAGTACGAACGCGAGGTTCGTCTGAAGTACGAACGCGAGGTTCGTCTGAAGTACGAACGCGAGGTTCGTCTGAAGTACGAACGCGAGGTTCGTCTGAAGTACGAACGCGAG